GGGTTTAGGGTTTAGGGCTTAGGGGGTTTGGGGTTTAGGGTTTAGGGTTTAGGGGGTTTGGGATTTAGGGTTTAGGGTTTAGGGGTTTTAGGGGTTTTAGGAGTTTAGGGCTTTAGGGGTTTAGGGGTTTAGGGGTTAGGGGTTTAAGTGCTTGGGGGTTCAGGGGTTTAGGGGTTTAGGGTTTTAGGGGTTTAGGGGTTTAGGGTTTAGGGGTTTAGGGGTTAGGGGTTTAGGGGTTTAGGGGTTTAGGGTCCGGGGCTTAGGGTTCAGGTACTACAGTAAAGTTGTATTCACGGCTCTGATCTAACACCCAGCCACCCACAGTATCCCATAACATTAAGAACATAAAATAGTTCATTAAACTATACAGGTCGGTTCAACAAGTACCATTCATCAAAGTTCTCAAGCCCAAGAGCCGCGCCGCAGCCCCCTAAAGGCCAGCCCACAGGTTTGAATCTTAAACTCTGAAGGCCCTTGAAACCCTAAACCCTATACCCTAAGCCCTAAACCCTATACCCTAAGCCCTAAACCCTATACCCTAAGCCCTAAACCCTATATCCTAAGCCCTAAACCCTATACCCTAAGCCCTAAACCCTATACCCTAAGCCCTAAACCCTATACCCTAAGCCCTAAACCCTATACCCTAAACCCCATACTCTAAACCCTAAACTCTAAACCCTATACCCTAAACCCTAAACCCTGAATCCTAAACCCTATACCCTAAACCCTAAAGGTTTGGCTCAAAACCTTGAATCCTACAGCCTCGTGCAGGCCAGCCCAGAGCCGTAAATCCTAAACTTTAAACGGATAGAGGTATCAGAGTAGGACACTTGCCGGAAACTTGCCTTAAAGGGGATAAGGGCAATAGTATTAAGGCCTGACCAGCTCTCATTCGTCTTTCACGCATCCCTTCAGATACTTTCCCTCACAGAATGCGGCCCCACAGATACTTCTTGCGTGCTCCACTTGATGATACATCTTCGTACGAGTGTAAAGACGGGGTCTGAATAAGAAGTAGAGTAGTTCCCTAGGGTTTCGTAATTTAGTTTTATATTTGTTCAGGCTTCTAGATTAGGGCCTAGCGCTTTGCAAACCTTTTGCTTACCCTTCACTACGAGCTTGCTCGGCAGCACCATAATGCCATAAAACTCTGTGACAAACTGGTCGCCAATGAAACCCTAAACCCTAAACTCTAAACCCTAAACCCTAAACGAACCAGTGTATGTTCAACAGCATGTAGGCTTACGAGTCGACCTGCCCTCGACTCTAGGGGTGTCTTAGTGAGGTAATGCAGACTCCTGATCAGCAGCCCACCCGCTCCCGCAGCAAGGAGTACTGTACTGTAGGTACTTGGAGGCCCAGGGGACTTAGTAAGTCGGGTGATAATTGGGTTAACTCCAGTTAGGGTACTTATAACTCTACTTATAACCTACTTACAAAGTCCCCTAGGCCTCCAAGTATCGTTGCGCAAGGGCCTTCAGAGGAAGGTGGGTCCTTCACCAATCGTGTGCACGAGGCTCTGCCTGAATTCCTTTGTCCTGGTCCCTCCCGCAAAGCCTAATCCCCCAACCCCCAGTCCTAAAGCCCCAAACCCTAGACCCCAAACCCTGAACCCTAAACCCCAAACTCTAAACCCCAAGCCCCCAGCCCTAAACCCCGAACTCTAAACCCCAAGCCCCCAGCCCTAGACCCGGAACTCTAAACCCTAACCTCAGCCCTGGGCCGAGAACACTGGTTTTGAAGCTCGAAAGATGCTATTGCTTAGTCCCCAGTTCCGAAAGGCTTTAGGGTTTAGTGGGTTTGGGGTTTAGGGTTTAGGGTTTAGGGTTTAGGGTTTAGGGTTTTTAGGGTTCAGGGTTCAGAGATCTCTCTGCGATTCTCAGGCCGCCGCCCTTCACCCACCCGTCAGGGGCACACGTCTTGCCCACCATCTTGTCCATGGGCGAGGAAGAGGAGGCGGGCTCGCCCAACTCTGAAACCCTATTAAACTCCCGTAGGGTCCTGTTCAAATTGGCTTTTCTTTCTTGAAGTGCGGTTATTTGGGTTCTGTGGAATTTGCAGGTGCTATGGCTTGAGGTTGTGCACAAAGATGGTGATTGCAAATGCTGCTGCTCTTACTACTACTACTACTACTACTACTACTACTACTACTACTACTACTACTACTACTACTACTACTGCTACTACTACTTCTACTACTACTACTACTTCTTCTTCTTCTACTTCTACTTCTAGTACTAC